CGTTTCGAGTCCTATTTTAGCAAAGCCAACGTTAGGAGTCCTATCTTAGTAAAGGCACATGTTTGGGAGTCGTATTTTAGCAATTTTCTCGATTTCGGCAAGACGGAGCTTTTATGTTTTCTTCGGCCCTGTTTGCATGCTCTTAAATTCAGCTTCATCTAATTTTTTTTATCCGAAACCATGTTTTTCCCTTACATATTTCTTCAGAGTAATTTTTTGCAGATTCTTCCGAGGGAACGGGGCCTCTGCGGTGTCTCATGCACGCTCGATTATCCGATACGCAGGCCTTGTTTAGATTGAAAAAAAATTCAACCTGATGAATAGTAGTACTTTCGTCTTATTTGGTAAATATTGTCGAATCGTGGACCAACTAAGCTCAAAAGATTCATCTCGTGATTTTCAACTAAACTATGCAATTAGTTATTTTTTTACCTATATTTAATACTCCATGCAAACGGCTAAAAATTAATGTGATAGAGAGAGTGAAAAAACTTAGAATTTTGAGGGTATCTAAACAAGGCCGCAGTTATCTTTTCCCTTTCCTCTCTCTCTTCCTCTGAAATATCCTGCGCACCCCGAATCGAGTTTTGGTTTTCATTTTCACCGTTTGTGTTTTGGTCTCTATCGATTCATCGCTTCCCCTAAACCGTCCGGTGGAAGATCTCGTTCGCCTCGTCCATCCTGGCTGGTGGGGAGAGCTCGTTCGTGCTTCTGTTTTCTCTGCGCAGGTACTCTTCCCCTACCCGAATCCTATCTGCTTGTAGTTTGCTTCCGTTCGTTTCCGAATCCCTCCCCTGAAATATGCAAAAAAACTGATTCTCAGATCCCTAATCTGTGTGCTATGATCTAAGTTAGCTTGGATCTGTAGTGTTTTTAGTGTTCACGGTGGTTTGGATTTTGTTTCGGTATTCTAGTTTCAGTTTTAGTTACTGAACCCATCCAGTTTTTGTTACTGAATCCATCCTGATTCAGTTGTTCAGGTTATTGAGTTTCAGTTGTTGCTTGTGCGCTCGGCATCTGCGCTGCTATCCGATCCATTGCATTGCATGGATCCTGTTTGTTTTTAATTTTCGTGAACGAGCTTGCTGTGACTGTACGTGTGTGAGAGGAAGAATAAATAAACAAGGAGAGGAGATCATCGGTCATCAGCTTCAGTACGAGTGGTGTGCTTTGTGTCTGTGTGTGTGTGTGTGTGAGATTAGCTACCTATGCATTATATTGACAAATAATTATTGTTGCTATACTGCTGCTAAATATTGAGAACCATGATGAGTATTGCTTTTATCTTTCATTTCATTGGATCAAATTTTGTGCTTATGGCTTATATAGTAGTATTTAGCAACTGATACTACTATTTTGTATGTTACCTATTTTTGGAGGCGCCATTGCATCATATATATTTTGTTCAGCAGCAGTTTCCCTCTGTTCTTTTTTATTTTGTCCCTAGTCCACAGTGGCATGTTGCCTCTCTCTGTCTACTTTCATTGCGAGAAATTAGCCATGTTTTGCTCCCACAAGCAGAAATTTTGTTTAGGTTGTGTACATAAGTACATTAGGATGACAGTGGTTCAGTGAGTTAGAGAAAATTCATAGTAGTATCTGACTGAGCCGAGTGTGGTTTCATTCCCTGTGCAATGTAACTTTCATGATACAACAATCTACATTTATAATTCATTGCATGCTTGCCTGTTGTGCTTTGTTTTTTATGGTTGTTAGTTCCTTCTATTATTTTCCTTTTAGCTTCAGTTTCATGCATGCTCGGCCCATTAGCGGATGGGTAGCTGTAGCTCAGTTGCAGATCCATGTCTCACTGGTTTGTACCTGAGCCTTTCAGTTTAGTTATTAGTTTACTCTAGTTTTTTTTTCCAGTTTTAGTTTAGGTTTCAGGGTACCTAGTGATGGCATCCATTGTCAAAGGATTAGAACATTTCATTTAGCCTGTGTGCTTGCTTGCCGTTTTTATTTTTCTCGATGGATCTAGTGACGGCATCCCATACCCCATGTGCTCAGGCCTTTTTCTCCTCGTCTCAGGAGAAATGGTCTGATTAGATCTGTGTGCACACGTTCCTTGCTACCCTTGTTTGGTGACATGCTTATCGCCGTACTAAATCTACTTGCATGCTAGGTGGCATAGTGTAGATGTTTTAGTTCAGGTTTCAGGGTACCTAGACTTTAGTTTCAGTTTAGTTATCACTTCAGTTTTTAGTTTACTTTTGTTTTATTTTAGTTTAGCATTTCATTGTTTGTTCAGGTTTCAGAGTATGTAGAATTTTGGTTCAGGTTATATATATTCAGTATAAGTTCCTGTATTTTCTCTCAATCTTCAGTTTCCATGAAATTTTTTTAGTTATAATGTATCAGTTTTAAATTTTCTTTGGAACTCAGTTTTTATTGGTTCAGTGATTTACAGAAAATTCGTAGTAGTAGCAACTCTTTTGGTTCAGTCTTGTAGAATCTATGTTCAAGTTTTGGTTAAGATCAGTGTATCCTATTTTCATTCAAAGTTCAGTTTCCAGTCTTACTTTAGAGTAGAATTTACTTTTGTGTAGAGTCTGTCAGCTTTTCTTCACTGGCTTTGTGTAGCTAATGCAGACTCTGATCGAATAGATAAGCACTATCACTCACATTAACAAAAAAGGGGCGTACCCAGTGCAGAGAACTCCCGCTCTGTGCGGGGTCTGGGGAAGGGTGTTAGTGGCAAGCTTTACCCTCGCCTGTGCAATGCGAGGAGACCGTGACTCGAACCCGGGACCTTCCGGTCACAGGCGGTAAGACTCTACCGCTTGCACCAGGCCCGCCCTTCTATCACTCACATTAACACATTTCAGGAATGTCTTGTTCTGAAAATCTCAGTTCTAGAACCACAAAAGGTGAGCTAGATTTTCTTTTTTTAGTAGTGAATAGTGATGGACAATTGTTTCCTGGAGAGTTCAACAAAAGCCACTTGAAGTTTGACTTCCTGATAAGTGATAGCAACCAGTCGGATAGAACATATCAAGATGACTGAAATTTCAGGGCTCATATTGTGCAACCTAATGCAAAACTTTATTTGGTTTTGCTTGCATACAAGTATAAAGATCTGGAGTTTTTTTTTTCTGTTTGAGTTTTGACACTATATGGCCTTCCAAAAGCTTAACTGGTCCCAGAACTATTTTTTCATTAATTTGCAAATAGAGTAGCACTACACTTGCAAATGTCTATCTGGATGAAAAAGTATGGCTTGTCGAACTGCAGTTTTGGTTTTCCCTCTGTCCATAACTGAATTCTTTTGACATAGATAGCTTTGTTCAGGTTGACCATGACTGTTTTTTTTTTGACATTGAGTCTGTGCTGCTGTGTTGCAACAATTCAATGTTAACTTTTGTTGTATTTGCCTTTCCCTTTGAGAAAATTGATCACAGTTTTTTTTCTAATGGGAAAATTACGGACTTCTGGCCTTTGATTTGAGAAAGGGAGAATGTGAGAAGCATGAGAGATCAGATTGCCTGCATCTCATTTCACAAATTCTCATTTAAGTTTTGGTTTAGTTTTGTAGAATCTAGGTTCAGTAATATTTTACATACGCAAGCTGTATTGGCTTGCTGCTACTTTCTGGAAGATAGTCGGGCTGCAATTTCCTTTCTGAAGTTTCCTATTCTGCTTCCCTCTCTTTTCAGTTATGCAGCTTGTTTCCTGTCTCCATCTGTTATGCAGGTACCCCAGATAGCTGTAGCAGCAAGCTAGCAACCAGCAGCATATAACAAGTGTTGGTCATCAGATTTGCTTTGGAAAACTAGGAGGTCTTAATTCTTTTTGCTAACTCCTCAATTTTTAATTTATGATTGCTGGGATGTTCTTCTTTAATTGTCAGTAGTGCTATGGTAAAATTCGCCAAGTTGCTGTTTATTTTGTTTTACTCAGTGTCTATGGTAACATAAGATTTTGTCTGACGATAGTTTTGTATAGATCATCTGCCCATAGGCTGCCATGGTATTAGTAACTTGGTTGTAATAGCTACACTTTCCTTCCCATTAGTTCACTATCAGTAGTAATAGGAGAAGAGGACATGGGGTGATTTGTGATGATTCTGTGAGGTAGTTTTTATACATTCCAGGATTCTCTGCTTCATACATATGAGTGATATCTCAACTGAACTTTCACTATTTGGATAGCGGACAGTACTTCTTTCGAATAGAATTCTATAGCGTGCTGTGAAAACTGTAAATAACTTACACTGATTGGAGTAGATAAGAGATGGGTAATGAACAATGAACAGTTAGCCATATTTTCTCTAGGCCTAGCATGAGACCATCTTCTTCTACGGTAACATAAAAAAAATCAGTGTCTGTATTCTCCTAATAAAGTATAATATATCAATTTCTGCAGGTACTGACACCAAAGTTCAGCTAGGCGCTAGGCGGAATCTAGGCGCTGACCCATTGCCTAGCGCCTAGTCGGGAGTACTCAGTCCTAGACGCTCCTAGACGTTTTCCTAGGCGTTTTGGCAATATAGCCATAAATTATATATATATTATGTATATAACTATATATATGTATATAACTATATATATATATATGTATATAACTACTATATATGACTATATGAGTCACAGTAATGACTAATGAGTAACAGAGTAAGTAGAAAAAGAGGGCCAGTAGACATATCTGACTCCTAGGTAGCTTACTCTTGCTTTCTTGCATCTTTCCTAGCTCCTGCCTCCTGCAACACATTTTGACAGCTAGTAGTTAGTAAATTAGTCAATAGATAGCTAGCTGGTCATCCAAAAAAAATAGAAAACACTAAGTTGATACTTATCTGGATGATTTCAGCAGTCTCCCATCCATGAGCACACCATATCAGCAGCTGGTATGGTACAATACAACTATACAAATGGATAGGACAGTAATACAAGTGCACAACACAATTTATAAATAAAGGACAGCACAAGCACATAGTTCTTAGTTCAGGTCTCACAAATCACAAAAGAAGACACACAGACACAAAGTGACACAGCTGCAGTTCATATTTCTTCTTCACTGTAGTTCACATCCTCATCATCATACTCTTCTTCTTCAGACTTAAATTCTTCTCCTTCATAGAGCTCCCTCACTCTTGCACTTCTACGCAGCTTAAGCTGTTCATCTGCTCCCACTGCCTCTCCAATGACAGACCAAGGTATCCCGGTACCTTCCATCTCATCTTCCTCCCCATCTCTAAAGTCAGCTAATGCACAATCATCCCCACCCTCTTGGAGAAAGCCTTGACCTTTAGTTGTATCACTAGACAAGAGAATATCAGTGATTTTGTTTGACTTGATCTTTTCTCTCTTACTAAGCAGCTTAGAGTTGAATTGGATATACACCAGCTTGTTGAGGCGGGTTGTAGGAAGCCTATTCCTCTTCTTAGTGTGTATCTACAATTTAAAAAGAGCATTCTCAGTTCTACAATTTAATTGTAATGCTGCTGAAAGCCTGAAACAGAAATGTTCATAATAGATAGGTAGTTAGGTACCAACCCCTTCAAACCCACTCCAATTTCTTTCACAACCAGAAGAGCTTGATGTCAAAGATAGGATCCTTGCAGCCATCTTCTGTAAAATTGGTGTTTCATATCCATACAGTCTCCACCATGATGCTGAAATAAAAAAAAACACACCTCTATTAGTTTAGAAAACAACAACAAACAGCCATGATCCATCATCCATGCAAGCTTATAGGAAGTACCTCTACCTGGGTTGTAATCAAAGTTTTCAAAATTCTTAGCAAGCTTCTTGCTAAAGGGTCCTTCTCTATTCTGAAACTTCTTTAGTTCAATGTTGGCAGCCTGATGCTGCATGTCCTCATCATGATAATAAAATTTCTCAACACAAGCTATAAACCCTTCTGATATTTTGGGCTGATCAAAGATTGATGGGTCACTATAGCTATAGTGAGGATTCAGCAAATAGGCTGTCAAATGCAATGGAGAATCAAGTCTTCCATTCATCTTTTTGTCAATAACAGCTATTACATCCTTGAACCGAGCATCAACATTTCCAAAGGCCTCTTTGATCTGTCTCTTTGCCTTTAGTAGTTCTCCATAAAGGAAACCCATGGATGGCCTCACATCCCATCAACCAAACGAAGGACTTTGACCAATGGCTCAAAAACAGTCAATGTTAGCTTCACATCCTTCTAAAAGCTTGGACTCAATATAGTTGTTGTTGCCTCTTTTCCTTTCTTTGATTTCACATCCTTCAATGAGTCCCACCTACTATGAACCACCATCTTCCTTAACTGGTCCTTCTCTTGCATGTTACTCAAAGTGAGAAAGTTTGAAGCAAACCTAGTCACTCCTGGCCTCACTACCTCTTTCCCCTCTGTGAAGTATCTCAAGCACTCCAATGTCCTTGTGTGGCCATAGACAAATATGGTAAATGCCTTTGCTTGGTCAACCACTTTCTTGAACCGAGTCATGTTGCCAATTCCTTGGAGCATAAGGTTGATTGTGTGAGCTGCACAAGAGGTCCAAAATATGTGTGGTCTCTTCTCTTCCAATAGCCTCTTTGCTCCCATGTTGTTAGAGGCATTGTCAGTCACTACTTGCACCACATTGTCTGGACCAATCTCTTCAATTGCTTTGCCCACAAGATCAAAGATGACCTCACTGGTATGTGAGACATGTGACATCTCCTTAGAGCTGATGAAGGAGGTTCCATCAGCACAATTGGTGCACAGATTCATTATGCTTCTCCTCTTCCTATCTGACCAAGCATCAGTCATAATAGAACATCCATTTTTCATCTTCTCGGCTTCACGCTCCTGCAGCAAACTCTTGGTTCTTTCATATCCTTCTTCCAGCAACTTCCCTCGCAGTGCATCCTGAGTTGGAGGTACAAGTCCTGGACCAAACTGTCCAATTGCTTCGCACATTTGCTTGAACTCATCATTATCACATGCATTGAAAGCAATTCCTGCCAACACAACATTGAAAGAAGCATAATTAGTGTTCAGTACAGGAAAACATCTAATGAACTTTGAAATGTAAAAATAGCATAGTATATTAGCAATTTACCATGTGTATAGGCCCATCTTGCAATGTACTTATGCACCTCATTGGTTCTTTCTTTCCAAAGTTCCTTGTTCAACTGTTGTTGCTTCAAAGAATAGACTTGGTAGCTTTAGGATCAATAGCATGTGTCCATTTGTCAATGGGTCCTAATTTGTGGGGCTCTGAACTTCCAACACATGTAACTTCATCTGAATCAGTTCCAACCCTAGATACATGAACTTCCTCTCTAATTTCTAGCTCACGAACAGTCTTCTCCTCCCTCTTCCTTTTTGCATCAGCTAGTGCCTTCTTGCACTTCTCTTTAGCCTCCATAGCCTGTGGTGTTCTTGCTGTGCATTTCTTCACATTCTTTCCTTCATGAGCCAAATGCTCCTTCAACCTATGAATCCCTCCTCTCATCTCCTTGTCACAGAGCTTGCACTTCACCTTGTCCTTGTTGCTAGCATCAACAAGAACACCATAGTCCCATCCAACATCATCTGAGTTCCTTTTCAGGAGATTAGTTGCCTCAGTGCCTGTTGCATCTGGTGCAGAAACACCTTGTTCTGTCGACATCCTACATTCAAATTCAAGAGTTGAATCAAGCTCAAAGAGACAGGTAAGCACTAGTATCGCTCAAATTTTAACGATTAATCATTGTAATAGAAGCTTTAATGTTAACATGTTTACAATCAACTGTGAAGAAAATGACAGAGCAGTCATCAGATGGAATACCAGGGGTAGAGCCAATTGCCTCACTTACAAAGAGCATTGATCACAACAATCTGTCAAGTTTTGCTCTCCAGGTCTGTTTTCAGTGTTGTCTGATTACTTAATGGTTACTATTACTTGTAAGTTGTAACAAGGCTACACAAGCTGTTTAATGGTTACTATTACTTATGAAGCATGTGCCTCTTACCATGCCAACTTCAATCATACAGTCAGTGGAACAGCAGCATCACTATAGCAGTAGAGTTATGAAGGAACTTTGTCATTCACCAACTCACAATTGCAGCATGTTTTGTAGAATGAACACATCCTTACAAAGATACAAGTCTTAATACAAGCTTTTGCTTAATGACTTCAGGTGAGTAACAATTTTTACAGTAAACTTTTGTTGATTATTCACCTTTCGCAAATCAATTCTTAACTTCAACAGATCAGCATGTTTCATAGACATGGAATGGAGAAGATCTACCTCCCACCTGATACTAAAGCTATTAGGGATATCTGTGTACTGCCTGGGGGTGATGTTGTTTTTGCATCACTGGCCAGGAAGTTGTCTCTTTTTAGGTCTGTAAAGAAAGAGAGCATGCAGGGGAGATGAGCAGGGGAGGAGCTGCCGGCATGGGAGGGGAGAGGAGCATGGGAGGGAAGGGAGCTCACCTTGGGGACTTGGGGTGGCCGGCGGGGAGGGGTTCCAGTCGAGGATGAGCAGGACGGCGGCGGCGAGTAGACGACGAGCAGGACCGGCGGCGCTTGGACGAGCAGGGGAGCAACTCGGGGACGAGCTTGGACGAGCAGGGGAGGAGCACAACCGGCGGGAGGAGCAGGGGAGGAGCAGAGGAGGAGCAGGACCTACGGGGAGGAGGTCGTCCGGCGGGATGGACCTTGCCCGGTGGGAGGAGCAGGACCGGCGGGGAGCAGGGGAGGAGCAGAGGAGGAGCGAATGGCGCCGCGCTCCATTAGCCTCCCGCGCCTGGGTCTCTTGGCCGCGCGCGGGCCTGGCCGCGCGGGAAAGCCTCCCGCGCTCCGATTTGGCGCCAAATCGGAGCCGCCCTCGAGCTCGCGCGCCTACGCGCCGCGTCCGCGCCCGCCTAGCGCGCCTCCGCGCCGCCTTGCGCCGCGATGGGCGACTATGGCCCTAGTCGCGGCGACGGGCTTCGCCCAGCGACTAGGCGCGCGTAGTCGCCGTGGAATCACCGCCTAGCCGAACTTTGACTGACACAGAAAAGCTTGTCCTTATCCAAGTGGCAAGCCTTCGCCCTGTTCGCTTGGCTTATAAGCCGTACTTTTTCAGCCAACGAACAATATTATCTCTCACAACAAACAAATCAGTCAACAGTACTTTCAGCCATGGCTTATGAGTCAAGCGAACAGGGCAAAGTCATCGGCAAAGAAGGGGATTACAGAGCTCAATCTCCAGGATAAGCTGGTGGACCAAGTTGAGTGGCTCCCTGTCTCGCTTGGAAAATTACTGGATGTCACTGAGCTTGATCTATCTGAGAATAGGATCATGGCACTCCCATCAACAATTGGTAGCCTTAGATACTTGACAAAGCTTCGATTCGCATGTTGTGCCACCGACCTATGTTCGTACGTACCGGATACATGTGCATGTGTCCTGTTCCGACTAGTTGAAAACAATCGACAGAAACACCAACCCGTTTTCGTACGTACCGGCTACATTCGCACGTGTCCTACTCCGACTGGTTGAAAACAATCGACTGAAACACAAACAAAAATCAGTCGATTGTTGAGTAGTCACTTAAAAAAAAATAGTCAAAAATTTTGCCTCTTTATTATTCGGGATCGAGAAGCATAACCTCTGTTCGTTCCTCTTCTTCGGAAGAAACTTAGGGAAAATACGATGGAAACAAGGCGACCATCATACACAGGTGCAGGTACGGCCCAATACAGCAGTGGGCCACCACAGAAGTGCCCCGCACGATCCCATCATCTCATGTTTATATTGGGCTTTTTATACACGGGCTTGGGCCTGCGAGCACGGGCCGCGACGCCGGGTGGTCATGGCGCCCCCGCCGCCACAGAGGTTCTAGGTCCTGGCCCCCTTGCCGCGCGGCAAGGGTTCCGGCGTTCCGCCTCCTCCCATGCACTGATGCACCCGTGGTTGACGGTTCCGTCTTCCGTGCTTCCAGCGGTCCGGCCAAGTTTCTGCCATGTTCGAACCAGTAACCACCGACACCGACGCGCGGTGAAAGGGCTGTCCCGCTTGGTCGTATTTGACTTATAAACCATATCTTATCAGCCAACGAACATTATTTTTTCTCTCATACTAAATGAGGCAACACTACTTTCAGTCATAATTTATAAGTCAAACCAGTCTAAACGAATAGGACGCATCCTTCTGCCTGTTCTCTCTGTCCTACACACACAGTGGAAGTTGCCAGGCGCCAAGCGGCAAGCCATGTGGATGTGGCAGTCGGCACCTTGGGCAGCGACATGATGCGGTCCTGTCACGCTCCCTGTATCGTGGGTCTCTGTCTCACGGATAGCTCCACCTCCAGGTCCAGGCGTCCAGGCGGCGTTGCAATGCGTTCTTGCAATTATGCTCGCTCACCGACGAGATAGACACGATGATGAAACCACGCGGCAGCAGCATCTGATGGTGCGTGATCGCGTACAAGCTGAACTAATTATGCGTAGCTGCGCTTATGTTGACGGCTTCTGGTTCTATAAGACACTAATCCATCACGCGCGCCCTCGCGTGCGTCGGCAGTCGGTTGGACTAAACAAAACGATGCACGTGAGCAATCTACCTCGCTTCAGAACTGCAAATCAGGGAAGACTAATATCATATTTGTCTGAATTAACATATGTACATGATGAAACTAAAGCAAACGATGCATGTGAGCTATATAATTCACTTTACAACTGCAAATCAGAGAAGACCAATATCCTACTTGGTGAAGTACTAAATCAGGGAAGACCAATATCCTATTGTAAAACTAATAAATCTCTTAGTAGATGAATGCAAAAAAAGTCGAACCTTTTCTGTTCGTGCCGCTGCAACCATGGAGACGCCGCTCGGACCACAACAGGAACCTAGGGTTTCCTGTAGCACAACACCACACACGGAGCAGAGGGAGGAGGCGGCGCCGGGAGGGCAAGCATGCCGGCGGCGCTTGCTCGGCCGACATGGGGGGAGATTATAGCCATAGCCACGTCACCCCGCTTGCACGCACTGGCTGTCGTCGCTCTGGCGGCATCGGGAGAGAGAGGGAGCGAGCGGAGAGGAGAGAGAGGGGGAGGCACGCCGGGGGGGAGGAGGGCGGCCGTAGCTGCGCCGCCCCACCCGTGCGCTCCGTGTACCGTCGCCATGG